TCATTGATAGCCACAACATACATATATAAATACCCTAACCTCAATATAAGTGAATGAGAGAAAACTCCTACCTTGAATCCTTAGCTTTGGAGTGAATAATAAGAATATTTGATCTTAAATCACCTTTGAATCTCTTGTTTTTCCCTTCCTTTCTTCTTCTCTAATGCTCTCTATGGTTTCAAGAGGTGTGGGGGTGTGAGGGGAGTGAAGAAAATGGGATCAAATGAGATAAAATGAGTTTAAAACATAGCAGCCCCGAAAAACACTGTTCACAGGTTGTTTTGGATTTCTCCAAATTTACGATTTTGCCACTAAGAATCTCTAATTTGATCCATATGACTACCCTAAGGTTTGTCGACGTTTCAGATCCATTTTTAATTTTATTTTAACCTAAAAACATTTATATTTATGATTTATCTCAAAACTCAAGTCAACATACACCCGAAACACTAAAATTTCTATTTTACCCATCCGAATCGGCTATTAATAAAATTTTATGATATTTGCAAGTAAAAGGTGATAAAGGGTGTTTCTTAAAGCCTTTATACTTATTTGAAGTCTAAAAGTACTCATTATTCTTCTATTTTAATTTAGGATGCAAATGGAGACATTAAATGCAAAACGAAGTTAATTGGACTATTTCGACATCGTTTCGTTATCTGAGCATAACTCTCTCATCCAAGCTCCGATTGAGATGATTCAAGATGCTATGGAATGATACGATAGAGCTCTAAAATTTTCATGTTTTGAGTTTTGAGAGATATTGACTGTATCAAGGTCTAAATCAAGCTTGAAGTTGCAGTAGTGCACTGTTCACAACGCGTCTTCGTCTCTTTTCCATTTCCAATCTATTCCTAAGCCAACCAAATCCATCTCAAACCTCTCCAACACATATTTCTATACCAAACATATTTAATACAAGTTCTAGGACCTAAAATTTCATATTTTCACTTTTTAAAACCAAATTTTAAGTATTATTTTTACTAACATTTTAAATCTCTACTTTTCAATCTACCAAATTCAAACACACATCACTACATATATCCACATTTTTTTTACCACAATTATTTACTATATATATATATATATATATATATATAAGAAAATGTTAGGTGTTACAAGTGTGTATCCCAATCACCGGGCCTTGCACCCGAGGGATCTTCTAGTCCCTCCTTGCTAACCCCAACCCTAATCACCATGCAACCTGTGCGACTCGGCCAAGTCTTCGAACAAACTTAATGGAGTCCACTCGTCATCCACCAAGTGTGGTGTTGACGACAACCATGCACACACCCACATGATGCGATATTACCGCACATATGCAATATGATATCCCATTGCATAATTTTAACATATTCAATATTACTATGAAAGACATATGAACAATATCAATACATTTTACATATTCATGACAAAATTATCTCATAAGCATATAATTCTTATTATTCTCCACAATGTCAATATAACACAAGCATGTACATACATTGACAATTTTCATAACCCAATTACAAGCATGTTATCACAATTTTTATGCCAATAAAACAGTCCCAAATTTAGCCACAAAACAACCCCTAAAGATGCCATAAAACATTCCCAAATTCAACCGCAAAACAGTCCAAAATTCAGCCCCTTAACAGTCCATTTGGACAACCCTTGGATAGCCCACATATAAACCATTTTTAGCCACTAAAAGCCCACTTAAGGTAAGAATAAAATCAAGGTATGAGGGAACCCTACCTCTTGTAACGTGTAGGAAGTGGTAGAACTTCTAAAAACACCAAAACAAGCCCAAGAACCTTTGATTCCTCCAAAGTCTTTTCTTTGAACCTTTGGTAAAATCTAATTTTTTTGGTACATACACGTAGCCCTCGTCGAGGAGATGAACTTTGATTCTTGACTCGATTAATTCCGACCAACAGAACTCCGAGAATCTTGGATTGAAGTTTGAAGAACTTCTTGTTTTTCTCTCTTTTCACTCTCTTCTCTCTATGGCCGGCCAAGGGTCAAGAACAAGAGATATTTTTCTCAAAATATCTAAGTTAAGTAGATATTTATAGTTCCGAATATGTGGTCCACATCGCACCGCATATTTTCAACTTTCGGGTTCGTTTTTCGTCCCAAAACGATTCGTTATACCTCGGATTTAGTTTAAATTAATTTTATTAGAAATTTAACTTAATTTTAAAAGAATTCATTTTTGGGGACCCTTAAAATGTCATTCGCTTTGCAGTCGCCTCGAACAACGTGTACAAATTTGACTATCTCAGAATTTGACAAAATTTGACAGAGTGACTAGATTTTGCGATATAAATCCAATGGCGAACTCCGTTTCCTCATCCGAGGTCTAGAACATGAGTATTTTAAATATGCATTAGGATGACAAATTACCATTATGCCCTTTCTAAGAAAATGTTCAAATTTTTTTGGGTTTCACAACTTGTCTCGTCTTTTTTTGATCTGATTTTGTTCCAAATCAATTAAATCTCATTCCATGTTATGTTCACTATATTTTACTTTTACTAAATTTAATCTATTTTTCATGTTTCGCACATAAAACACAATCGCATTTATTTTAGGCACAAAATTTGACTGTTTCGAAATTCAACGAAAATTGACTGCGTAACTAGATTTCGCAAGATGAATCCAATGGCAAGGTCTATTTCACCATCCGAGTTCTAGAAAATATTGAATTTTCAATCTGTACCATTGCGACTAATTACCGTTTTCACATTTTTTTCATAAAAATTCAAATTTTCTAAATTTTTTTATAGCTCTCAAGTCGTTTGAGCGATTTTAAGATAACTCAAGCCATCATAAGGTTGCTCGAGTGGTTTCTGCTTTATTACCTTGGTTTGAATTCATTTTTCATTCCAACAGCCATCGCCTCTGTGAGATCCTGGTGTCCGACATCGGTTAGGGAGGGGAAAGTGACTAGGCTTATAAGGCTTTTTCCCACGAATACTGGGAGGAACAAAGTTGTGAGGGCTAGTGAGCCCAAAGCGGATAATATTATGCCATGTGGAAGGGGTGTTACAAGTTGGTATCAGAGCCGACTCTCGCTTGAATGGAGTGTGGGCCCCTGACCTGCTCGCGTGTAGTGGGCGGACAGGTAGCTAGCGAGCTACTGCACGGGGACATGCAGCCCTAAGTAGGGTGGATTGTGAGATCCTAGTGTCACACATCGGTTAGGGAGGAGAAAGTGACTAAGCTTATTAGTAAGCTCCTTGTCTTACATGACATAAGGTCTTTTCTCATGAATACTGGGAGGAACAAAGCCGTGAGGGCTAATGGGCCCAAAGCGGACAATATTATGTCATGTGGAGGGGGGAGTTACAAGTTATTATGAGATCCTGGTGTCCCACATAGGTTGGGGGGGGGGGGGAAGTGACTGGGCTTATTAGCAAGCTCCTTGTCTTACATGGCATAAGGCCTCTTCCCAGGGGTATTGGGAGGAACAAAGCTGTGAGGGCCAATGGGCCCAAAGTGGACAATATTATGCCATGTGGAGGATGGGGTGTTACAAGTGGTATCCGAGCCGACCCTCGCCTAGATAGAGTGTGGGACCTTGCCGTTCTCGCGTGCATGTGGGCGAGCAGGTAGTTGGCGAGCTACTGCACGGGGATGTGCAACCCTAAGGGGGTGGATTGTGAGATCTTGGTGTCTTATATCGTTTAGGGAGGGAAAAGTGACTGGATTTATTAGTAAGCCCCATACCTTACATGGTATAACGTTTTTTCCTAGGGATATTGGGAGAAACAAAACTATGAGGGCCAATAGGCCCAAAGCGGACAATATTATGCCATGTGGAGGGAGTGTTACAGCCTCCTCCCTATAATCGCTCTCCAACTGCTCAAATGATTGCTCGCAAATTTGTGTTTGTTTGGTCCCTAATAAAAATCATATCTCGACTCTATAAATAGAGGATGTCTTTCATATACTAGGGTTAGTCTTTTGAAAGTATTTTCTCCATATCAAAAATTCTTGAGAGCTTGTGAGAAACCTTAGATTCCTAAATCCAAATGCGAAAATCCTTCTTGTTATTCCTATCCAACATTAAACATTGGAGAAGAACTTGCTTGATTCTACCAAATTCATTTGAAGAGTTTCAATACCAAGACTCTTAGGTGCATCCTATGAGTACTTGAAGTCTAAATGAATCATGCAATAGAGAGTTCAAGTGAAACTATTCATGACTTGATGGTTGTATTCGATGGAGAGATCTATTGAAAGAAAAGAGCATCTGACCATGATAATGGTTAAGGTAAAAGTCTTGATTACTTGTAGATTGATAATGAGATAGTGGATCAAGCTTTGGTTAACCCCAAGTGGTTCCTCGTAATTTTTTTCGATGAGGGTTTCTACGTCAACAAATCTCTTGTATTTTTTACTACTTTATTTGATACATTTGTGGTTTGAAGCACATACGTACCCTAGTGTTTGATTATATGATTAATTGATCATTTTATCATACATAGTAGTTTGGTAATGGGTTATTGTATTGGTTGGGATCGCCTTTGAATGATTTAGTATTAATATGTAAAATTGAAAAATTCATTATACCAATCATTGTGGGTTTTAAGGGTTGTTCTTGTCGAAGGGGTTCTAAAATTTAATTGATAAATTAATTTTTGGGAAGAGATAATTGTGGTGAACTTATGTTAAAATTTGATGCTTGCTCAAGTATAATTATAATCAACCTATTCACCCCTTTTAGGAAGTGTCTAATCCCGAGTAATCGTAAGGGATGATTGGCAAAAAAAAAAAAAAAAATTTATCCTTACATAGCCAATGAAAAACAAGCATAGGATGATCCCTATTGATTTTAAAGTCAAAAACTAAACAAAAAACTAATCATCTTAAACACTAAAAGTTGTTACTCAAGTAGGGTCCGATAAATGACTCGATCTATATTTTCAGAACACATTTAAGGTTTATAAAAAAATAATTCAACAAAACACTCTAAAAAGTCATTTACGGATTTTAATAATTCTATTTTCATAATCCTAAGCATCCTAAATCCAAATTAAACCAAAGGTTTTTAGATCTTTAGGTTATTACCTTTGCCCAAAGTTCAAAGGTGCGTCGGAGAACTCTTGATAAACCTCTGTAGTTTGAACTCCTCCATTCCTTGACACTTACAAATCTTAATCTTTGATGCATCATGACCATAGAATTATGTTGAGATTGATTCTCTTACTCAAACTCGCGATGTTTTGTTTGGGCAGATGGGCACTTGCCATTGATCTTTAGGTGAGGAAACAAATCATGTTTTTGAGAAAACTCCTTCGTATTTCAAAAGGAAATGTGACTATTACATATGAAGCATGGTCACGAGATATCATGCAAATTATTGGCCTTTATCAACTTTCTTTCCAATCCAACCAGCAACAATGGGAGTAAGAGCTACAGTAGGAGGAAATCTTATTGGAGATGCAGCCTTATGTGCAGCATATGCCAATGCAAAAGTGCCTACTTTCTCTCCAGTCTCATTAGTGTTTATTCCTACCTGCAAACAATACATACAAACCATTAGTTTGAGGTCATAAAGGAGAAAAAACATCACCCTTAATTCGTATTCGGGATTAGTTGTACCTTCTGCAGTAATGCTGGGACATCCACACCGGCACTGATTAGAGCATAACAGAGTGCGAAGGAGATTAAGGACAGAGTAATTGAGGTGACAAGGTATGCTCCTCCATATTTTGCCAATAGCTCCTTGGCTTGATCCCCCTTTGACTTTTCCCCCTTGTTCTCTTCATTGCTTTCCTCTTTTGAGATAAATATCTGCATTTTTTAATTGTGAACGAGTCAGTCATAACTAAGGTTGTTATGGAGTTGAGTCGAATGATTAATGAGTGGGAAAATATAGCCTTATCACTCATCTACATTGTGTGTGCAGCCTTTTGTTGGAGAACAAGTAATTTGAGGAAATATTTCCAAAACCAAAAGATATAATCAACATTACTTCTGTGTAATGAAGTTATCTAGAACTGAAAGCAATGCTCTTGTTGAAAAAAGGTAAAGAAGTGGAAGTAAAGAGACAGTAATACAATTGTTTGTTGCTGGGGAAGCTACAATTGAGAAGACTTCGGAAAATCTGAATCTTTTGCAAGATGTTTCTGGATTTTTAATAACCCAAAAACTCAAAACTAAGTCATCTTACGGGTACCCATCTCAGTTAATCAGAAGTATATGGGTCCTAAACACTGAATACTTGTAAATGGACTTTGTAACCCTGATGTTTAACATTTTCTCAGTAAACACACCCAGGATTTTGCTCGTTCGACCACACAGCCCCCGCGGCCCGGCGGGGGGGGAGGAGAGAGAGAGAGAGCATGGTAGCTCTTGAGCCTACATTACACCAATGGAAACTGAATTTTGCTCATTTCAGAGACCCAAAACGGACTAACCAAGAAAAGTGGAGAAAAGAGTACCTTCCAAAGGCCAGCTTCAAGGCCATACTTCTTTGTAATTTCATCAGCTGGGGAAGGATCTGAATATGGTGCCTTAATTTCCTCTGTATTCTCTTTGATAGCTCTAACCCTGAAGAAATGGGAATTGGGCCTCGAGGTAGGGATTAAAGAGGCACAGCTGCCAAAATTATAGAATTTCCCATTACAAAAACTAGTACAGAAGAAAACATTTTTATTCGCGTTCGGACTAGGAGTTATCAGAGATGCAGCCATTCTCAGATATCCAAAGTAATAGAGTGGCTCTCTCTCTTGCCTGAGACTCTCTGTCTGTCCTTATTACCAGATAATGAACAAATATTTCATTTACTTTATTACCCTCCGATTTTTTTACAAATTTTATTTATTTCATCCGTTGAGATGGGGATTATTGGCTCTATGTTCAAGCAGACAGATATCCCTTGCTCGTAATCACTTATTTCAGTCTAACTTTAGATTGTGATTGTGACATTTGACCAAATTCAACAACAATATCATATGTGGTTATAATTGAACTTGTGGTAGTCCGTAATTCGAGGTGCCATCAAAAGTTAGTACATTATACAATGAAGTAGATCAACTTGGCCGCTCATTTATTATCCATTCGATTCAACTACGAAATGTAAGAACATGTGATTAAAATTTTTTGATATTAATTCAGTCATGTTTAATGATCAAATTTAGAATATATAAAATTTTAATCCGTTGGTTAAATATTGCATTATTAATATCATATATTATAGATGCATTTTTTGTGAAATTATTATATATTAAATATTATTTTATAATGGTATCTATATATTTATATATATTATTTTGATATAGTTGGATGTTGGGGTTTGATCTTTTCTAGTCGGCATGTGTGATTTGGTTAGAGGGACACATCAAGTAGTGAAAGACTAATCAATCATATATAGAGTATTTTTAGCCTTTTTTAATTTCAAAGAGTTGAGAAAGATATTGGCGGAGTTAAGGCTAATCAGTTGAGTTAGAGTGGGTAAAGGCTAGTTGATACATCCTCCACTATAAATAAAGCTCTCTGGATACAAAGAAAACACACATTAAAAAATACTTATGATGCGTTTGGTGACGTTTTTGTTTTTATGTATTTTTTTTTTATAAAAAAATAGAACTAATTTAAGTTTTTTCTGTGATAAAAATTAATAATATAAAACATGTTTAATAATAATTTATATTTAAAAAATGGTACAAACAAAAATAAAAAACTTGTTTGGTATTATACCAAAAATTCGCCACCCAAACCCCATCACCTAAACCACTGACTACCCAATCCCACCACCGAAACCCATCCCAAACCCCACCACTGAAATCCAGCACCACAACCACCGAAACCCATCACAACAAACACCGAAACCCACCCCTAATCCACCTTCAACCCCACCACTAAAACCCACCCCCTACCCCCACCACAGAAACCCACAACCCACCCCCGCCCTCACCATCGAAAACCACTACCCACCTAAGAAACCCACCTATGAAACTCCCCAACAAAACCCACTACTTATGCTTGAAGCCCACCACCACTCACTATTCACCCCCAAAATCCACCATCATCCAATCCCACCACCACCCTCGAAACCCAATCCTACAACTCTCCAATAAAACCCATCAAAGAAGGGTGAGAGAAAGAGAGGGAGAGATGACTCGATCCGAAATGTGTACACTCAAGTGTAGGTAATCAAGTTGCAATTATAACCCGATTAAGCCCAGAGTCAAATCCACAGGAAGTTACTGTTGGTGTTTTGAAGTAATTAGTGATAGAGACCAAAGTAACTAGAACCTTTGAGATTTGAAGTTATGATAATTATAGAGTTACCTAGACAGAATATAAGATTCTCTTAAATGAAAGAGTCACCCTTTAGCTCGACAATCTAGATATGTAGTCAATCATCCAGTTATTATATTTGTGCTTGACATCTCAATTAACCCCTATGTCAATTGCAAGTTAATTGGAGGATAAGATGGACTGAGAGAATTAAGAGCATGACTCCGATGTATTTGTAGAGATTTATAAGAATTGTCAGCGCCAGGACTCAACCCATCTACAAATAAACAACAAGTAATTTTACAAATCATCCAGCAACTGTTATATTATTTCATTCTTAGTTAGAGCACAATAATAATGAACATTGAAAATTTGTACTGAAGACCTAGCTTGATTACTTGCAAGGAACCAATGAATCATCCTATGTCAAGAGTTAGCTTGTCTTAGGAGAGACTCATGATTGTGCAAAGTACCTCAGGTTTTCTAGATGCATTCAATCATTCAATAAGCAATCAAAAGATAAAACGTTAAGCATAAATGAAATGCATAAATATAACTTCTGAATGATTTATACATATCCGTCACCTCCTACTAAAAAGTGAATGAGAAACTACTCACTATTCATAACTTTGAAAAAGTCAGAAAAGTGAGTGATCATCATCCCTCCAAGCAGAGAAGTTACAAAATAACATACACTGCACAATAAGCTTATCTTCGACAAAGCATGAGTGAAACATTACCCACCTTTCAAGGCTTCAAGAGAGCTAGAAAGGTGAGAGAGTTTCTCTCCTTTGGGTGAAGAAAGAAGCTTTTACAATGGAAACTAATGAAACTAATAATGAAGTAGAGGAAAGCTAGTTACTTTTGGAGGGTTTTTCCACTTCCAAAAGATGATCTTTAACAAGTTCCAAGGGAAGGTATTGATAGGAAACAGGGGGTAAAAGAACAGACCTACCAATGGGTCTTTATTCCAATGGTACTTATTACCTTGTGAAAGCTTTGCATTCTTGTGGTTAAGGGTTCAAACTCCCCTCCCCCTCCCCTTCCTCTACCAAAAAAAAACAAACACAAACTTAAGCTCTTAAAGTCCAAGTGAATGCCACAAAATCTGGATGAAAATCTAATCTTTTTGTAGCCTATTTGGTGTTTACATTCGACTGCCAAACTCATTCGAACATGAAGCCTTTCTTCTTTGATGAGCATTCGAACGCCATTGGAGTTTTAACGTAGTACTCATGTAGCTTTTGTCCTCCACAGTATCTAGCTGCAACAAGCCTCGTGTCATCACCATAGCAATCTCCTGGAGGTCCTCAATTATTTCAAGATGGAATTCGAACATGGGTTGAAGTTCGAACGTGGGTTTTTTGTTCCCTTTTTCTTCCATTCTCTTCTAGAACACGTGTGTGTTGCTTGAAAGTTTGATGTTGTTGAATTTAGGCCTTTTACAACTTTTTTTCTAAAATGTTATCATTTAAATTCCATCAAAGCATAATTAATCTTATAAAAGCATAGTAAGATGTTAATTTTAACTATGCATCACTACACTTGCCCCCAAAGAAGTAGCTACTGTATTATGAGGATAGTTCCATTGAACATGTCATGATTGTCCACTATTGTAGCACCTACGAGTGTCATCCCCGTACATGGAACAATCTCTAGCAAAGTGTCCAACTTTACCACACCTGAAGCAATGGGTATCACCTTCTAACTGGCCACTAAAGGTTCCTTTCCCTGAAAAAGTATACCTTTTTCCAGCCTAAGCACAAACTTGTGATGTTCCACTTGAATCCTTAACTGATTGAGAACTCTGACCTGTAGAAGGAAATGATTTACTACTACTTCCTTCAGTTGAAATGATTCGAACCAATTTTCTTAAAATGCTCTCTCCGTCCTACCATTCCTACACATTCCTTTCATCAATTTTCGCTTTATTCATCAACCCTACAAAGTTCCTTATCTCTAAGGTAGCAACCCTTGATTGTATTGGCAAATCTACACCATTGTCAAATCTTCGACACTTGGATTCCTCTCTCACCACCATAGTTGTGCGAAATAAAGCAATAAAGTTCCCTTCATAGTCTGACACCACAATCTTTCATTGGGTGAAATAAATGAACTATTTCTCTTTTCGGAATTGATAGGATGCAAAAATGTACTTCTGGTCAAATGCTTGTTTAAATTGCTCACATGTCACCCTAATAGGAGCTGCAACCACTGGGGCATTAGTTGGCAATACAACCATCATCAAACTATGAGTAGAATTTCACCAGTACTTGGCCTCTTTTGTTAGGATAAAAGCAACCAAGTTCAATTTATACTCGTTCACCACAACCATCACCTTGAAAATTGCTCAATCCTCTTCAACCAATTCTCTACATCAACCTCATTACCAATCCCCGTAATGAGGTGGATCTAACTTTTTAAGACTTTCAAAAAAGGTACTCCCTAGATCTACTATTAAGCATGTACAAACTACTGGCCTGCATACTATTCAAAAAATTGTGCATGTTGTTCTATCATCCTTGAAACTACATCATACATTGGCTCCATTTGATCCTCCACTTGTACTTTTGGATCTTGTTTTTCATTTCGAGTAGAAGTACTAGGAACCTCTCCCTCACCAAGTTGTGGATTTGAAACTGGATCCATAACACCTCTGCTCATGTGGTAATAAAAATGCATGTAATATCATAATACTTAATTATATGTCCCCACAAACTTTTGTATATCTACAAGTTATTCTATACTCCTTAGACTGAACAACACATACACATCCATAGAGCTAATAAATTACACCTTGCTCAAGGATAACCTACATACACCTTTATACATACCCTTGCGGGAAAACTCTTAACATAATTTACACATCATATTAACAATATATCTCTTTCTCCTTATCAGAGATCATTAGTACATGCAACCTAGTGTTCCAAAGGGACCTCGTCTACATCACATCGCTCTTTCACATGACTCTAGACTATATAGTGGATCAACCAAAATTACGAACACCTATACACCAAAACCAACTATGGGAGTGTAAGCTTTTCAACGTGCTTAGTGAGCATGCTAGCATCATATAATAAGGGAACAGTAAAACAAGTATGGATCATGCTTTAAGCAATAAACAATCCCCACCTCGCTGTTGATAAACATTTGATACCGAAGCATAGGAGATAAGTTGTTGTTAAAAGATACTTTCTATCAAAGTACACCTCCCTCTTGAAAAATATAATTAAACTCCAACCATTTCATTCATAGCCAAGGGTCATTTCCTCATGACCAGGTTCAAACGGTACCATAACCTCACATATCAATTCAATCCATTGACATCAAACGAGTGAAGGGCCATTCATTATCCCCAGCAGTAGGGATACACTAACCTGTCTCCCAATTTTACATAGAAAGATAAGTTCAATCACCTCACGAAATTCACCTATATAAAAAGGATGATGTGAATGATAAGACCTCACCATTTCAAGCAACCCCCTCCAGAAAATAATCATGATCCATACCACAATTCATCATTTTTCAAACACCAATTAAGGAAATTCACCA